CAGAACGGGGCGTTGTGCTCATCTTGTCGACCGCGTCCGTCCTTGCATGGCATGGCCCACGCTACGCAAGACGACTCGACTCCTCTTGGCTCCTCATCCTCACCTCCTCACGATCATCCATCCGTATTCTTCCAAGCTTACCGACGGACGGACGTAAAAGCCGGCGGGAGTGAAAGCGTATGAGAGGTGGAAGCGGTGGTTCTGTGCGGCGGTAGTGGGATGGATTCCTGACGGATAGGACACCTTCCATTCCATCTCCAATCTCCATCTCCGTCTCGGCCTGCCGTCCGCCGCAAACTATGCAACACGGCCTCCACGATCTACGACCTGGCGGTCGATACCGAGTTTCGCTTGCTTCTGCTGCAGTTTGAGGGTGCTGATGCCCACCCGTAGTGTATTACTGCAGCTACCGGAATCGGTTGAGTTCCCGCTTGCTGGTGGTGGCCGATAATACGATGCGAACCGAACCTAACGTAGTTGACTCGCCGTCCGCCGCTGCCGCCTTATTGCTTTACCAAATTCGACCTGCGTGCCTTGCATTACCTCACCCTCGCCTGACTTCACCCCAAAATTCAGGTCTCTTGTCATGTCGCCCTGAGCGAGGGTCCGGCAGGTAAAGTAGCTTGCCCTTCCTGAATGATGCGGTGGTCATCTCTTTGCCGACAAGCGGCGGCGGCGATGGCGCCCCCACGGCTATCGTGTGTCGTGTGTCTTTCTGTTCTTTCAACCCGCATTCAACGACTAGTCGCACGCGCATACCTTCCCTTTTGCCCTTGGCTTGTTTGATTCCATGAACAAGAAGAGAGTCTGGTGTTTTGAACATGCTGGTCGCTCCAACGACGCGGGATCGACCTGGCCCCGTCTCAACGCCACACCGTCGTCCCCTTTTTTGGTTTTGGTATCCCCTTCAACCTGTTCCAGCTTCCCGGGGAAAACAAAACAAGGAGAACCAGGCAAAGAAGGGAGGCTGGCTGGCGTGTTCCATAAGGTATCCATTTTGCGTTCCGTTCTTCGAGATCACCGACAGGCGCATGGGTCGTGGTTCTTTGGGAGAGAGTCTCCGGCGGCCGGCAGGGACAGGCCCGAGTGGACGCAACCCCCAAGAGGAGGAAGAGTCCCAAGTGCCAAACGTGTTGTTCGTTCACGCCCCCCGGCCCGCCGCAAGGATCTCTGTCCTGGGCCCTGGGTGCAGTGGGTGCCAATCGCCCCAGCGTGCGATGAGCGTGGCATGGTCTGGCATGGTCTGGCATGGCATGGGGCATGGCAGGATGGGTAATTATCTCGTCTTAGTGGCCGTGGGCGTACCGACACCCGAAGAAGAAATCAGTCAGAGCCACGAGCGAGGACGAGCACTGACTGGCAGGCAGCGTGCCAACGGCAATTGTGATTCGATGCAAATGGCAATGGTAATGGCAAATGACGATGGCGAGATGCACACGACTCTCTCTCCAACTTGTATTGCCTCAATCAGCAGTGCTGCTGTTAACGCCGCCTCAGCTCAGCTCACCGCCTGCCGACTCGACTCGACTGGCATTGGCCGGCCGTTGTTATTTCGTGTCGATACGCCCGCGGGTGCCACACTGCCACCCAAGGGACCAGAGTGACGAGTTGCAGATGGCGTGGCATAGGCGTAGCAAATATGTATGCGGCTTGCAGGTATCGTTCATTGTTGAGGGTATCCGTAAGGAAGGTAGTCAGGTACCTACCTACCTTACCAAGGTACTCGGCGAGGACCCGAGGGACGAACAACTGGCTTGAATCGCATGCGTATCCGTGGGAGTGAGTTGTAATGCTGTGCTGTGCTGGTGCTCGCCGGCCGGTGCTGCACAAAGAAGACACCGCAAGCACAGCGCTGCACTGCAGCAGCATCCACCGGACTGCTGCAATCTTGGTGCTGCTGGCTCTGCCGATGGTGCTTTAATGCCGCCGGTCGACCGGGTGGTGGTGGTAGTGGTGGTGGTAGCGGTGGTGGAGGGGCAGCGAGAGCGAGCAAGCAAGGCGACAATGTACCACTGCCATGTATGCAGGCTGCAGAGGTACATGACATGGTCGCTCCGTGTTCCAGTCTCATGGACGGAGCGGTGGGCGCGGCCGTGGGCTAGCTAGGACGTGGCTTGTCATGGCCATGGGGAAGTTCTCAAAGGGACCTCGCAAAGAGACCTCGCGAAGATGACGGGCTAAAGCCGCGGCGGGCAAGGAGGCGCGGTGTTGGAATTGGCGGGTTGAGGCGTCCATGAGGCGTGCCGTACCTGCCAGAGAAGGGAAAGGTGCCAACACCATGAGCGGGAACTGGGAAGGGATGCTGGGTCGAGGTGAAGTGAGGGAAGCAGATGAGGGAGGCATGGCATGTATGGGATAGGTGTGTGGAGTGGTGTGGTGTGGTGTGGGATGCGTCGCTCTCTCACTCTTTTCTCTGTCTGCGCTGCTGCAGCTGCTTCAACATCTGGAAGTAGCAGATGCGTGCCTCTGACGCGGCAGGTGCTGCAGCGAGATACGAAAGGGGTACATGGGCCCTCCACATCACTGGACATCACATACCTGACCCGTACGGATACGCAGTACGCCCTCACCCTCTACTGCATATCTGCTGGTTCCTGCTGCTGGTGCCCGTTCCTTCCTACGTCGCTCCTCCCAGGGTCAGGACAACCTTCTTCTCTGTCAGGACCTGAGCTGGCCTGGCTGACCATGCTATGCCATGCCATGCCACAAGGCACGGCACCATTACCGTGCCATACCAGCCAGAACACGCCGTTCAGGTCATGGAAGGGGGGCCGCGAGAGAATGTCAGTGGGTGCTGCGCTAAAAGATGAAGCTCCGAGTGTGTAGTGTGGGCGAGTATCTATCTGTACTGCTGCTGCATTGAAGAGAGGGTGCATTGCCAGCAATTTCACCCAACCCATCCAAGCGCATATCATCCCTTGGCCCTTGGGACCTGGTTCCCGGCCATGTGTAAGGTAGGTACATACATACATATGGGGCTTCTTTGCCTCGCTCTTTAGTGCCAATACACCGGACACACATCACTAACAAAGTGGAAAGCCTCTACGCAGTACTGACTGGTCAAGGCAGGGTTTGGGTACCTGTTCCTGCGCCTGTCGCAGGTACCTTGCCTCTCTCTCTCTCTGTCACTCTCTCATTCTCACTCTGTCAGAGTCTCTCTTCTTCTTTTTTCCCCATTCCCCCTTCTCCTTGTTTTTATTCAGGTAGTGTATTGGCTTGGGCTTTTCCGCCTTTCAGTTCCTTTCCGCCGCCTTCTTAGACGCTACCTCACACATGCATGTCTATGTAAGTGTGTAAGTGTAAGGTATTGTACCAATGGTGGTGTGCGTAGGTGCGGTATGTGTACATTGCTGCTGCGGTACACTTTTGAGTCCCCCGTCTTGACTTGAGTCTTTCCGCGGGCAGCCCAAAGAATACGCTATGTACCTGGCATACCTTACCTTGCCTCCCGTCCTCTCTCCACTCCCACGGCCTTCCACACTCCCCCGTCCCCTCCCACACACACACACACACACACACACTCACACACTCATACTCCAGACAGAGGCACACACACCAGACAGACCAGCAGAGTGTGCTAGCTAAGTAACCTGCCCGTCCTAGTGCACCTGCTAAAAGGTGAGGCGTGTACGTACCCCCCTCCCACCCCTTCTGTTGCTCTATGTATGTACCATGGGCAATGTACCTTACCCTCCATACGTCTTAATATTATTGTTTGGCTTTAACACGCTCCAGTCCTCTCCTCTCTCCTTTTTTTTTTCATCCCTTCCCCGGCTGCATACTGCACTGACCTGACCTGACCTGACCTGGTCTGGGGCCTGACCTGACCGTACTTACCGACCGTATTTCTCTTGCCTTTCCCGTCCCCTTACTAGACGTGGTTTTCCTCTTCCTTTCCTTCCTTCTCTCCGTTTGCAATTTCCTTCTCAATTTGTAATTAACTCTCTGGGCTCTTTGGCTTGCTTCTTGCACTCTTTTTTGCTCGGGTCCATCCTTCTCTCGCTACGCTACCTGGCAATCTCCCGACATCTCACCCGCAGCATCCAACCAAGCCTCGCCTCTCAGCTGGCTACAGACCTGCTCACTCACTCGCCTGGCCCCCCTTCCTCAAATCTCATAACATCCTCCTCGCTCGCCCTCCAATAGACTTTCACCCTTTTTTCCCAACTTCCACCCGGGAATCGAGCAACACTGCACGGAAACATACCCCCCCCCCCCGACCAACCAACAATTCTACCGATCTCCCGCCACCACGATACACACGTCGTTGTCGTACTGCGCCTGACCGCACTCTCGGGCTCGAAACACGCTTCGCCGCTCATCTCACTCCCACTCTCACCCGACGGCAGCAACCAACGAGAATTATTGTGACCCTGTCGTGGCCGCTTGCTTGCTTGCTTCCTAGCCGCGTCTGCTGCAGCAAGCCCCCTCCCACCCAATACGGACTTGTCGTGGTCCAGCCGCTCCTTCTGCACATCTGCTTGAAGCACCGAAGCAAACATCCCTCGAGATAGTGACCTTTGCCTCGAATCTCCCAATTGCCGTTGCATACTGCGCCGCATTCGCAACCCATTCTGTAAGTTGCCATGAGCATGCCTCGCCTACCCGGCCACCGCAGCCGCAAACTTCGCAATCCTGCCTCCGAAGACTGGGTTCATTACACAGAGCTACGGCAACTTGGCCCTGCACGCATCCGTGTGTTGCTCACGAGACCTGCTGCGTCTTACAAAACCGCCAGTGCTTGTTTGCGGCCCTCCATCTAGATATACTCTTGCTAACTTGCTCTCTTGCGGGACACCAGCCCCACGACAGCTCTCTCCCCTATTTCGACCATCTAGGCCCCATTTTCCTGTCTCAGCGCCGATCTCGAGTGTGTAACCCAACGGTTCTGGAATTGGTTTCTGACGGCTTTCCCTGAATCAATTGCGGATCTGGATTCCAGTGGAACAACCTTCCAAAAGATCAACAAAAATCATCTCTTCCCGCGACAGTTCGGTACGATGGCGGGCGAACAGGGAGCCGGTGGCGGCATAGAGAGCAACCGTCGGCATTTGTCGACTTCTACTCGTGCCAGTGCCGATAATGAACCCATCCAAGAGACAGAGCCCCAGACGGGCAAGCAGACCGAACAAGAAGAGGCCAAGGCCCAATTCCAACAACCTTCCCAGGACTCTCCCAGAGGTTTCAACCCGCCTTCAAGCACGTCAACTCCTTCATCAGCACCCCTGATGGCCAGGGCATCTTCCAACAGTTCCACGGTTTCGACTCCGAGCGCGCCGACAGACAGCTACTTTGCACCAGTCCCTGAGGCAAAGGCACCCGCACCGAGGCCATCTCGCCCTCTCGAGCCTCCAGTCACCAAGGGTACCTTGAGCGAGCTGGACGTGTGCAAAATCATGCACAATCCCAAGTTGCGCCACGATATTAATTTTGACCCCGAGCTGCATTTCCGACCCAACCTGGATGGAGACAAGGGCAAGCGGAAGCAACATAAGGCGGACCTCTTCTGGAATACCTTGCAGGACCAACTGGTTGATTTTGTGAGGGAACCGGAGGCTTTCTACGCTGCTCACGGCCAGACGGACGATTGGTGTTTGCCATCACTCTTGAAGGCTGTGAAGGACATCATCCAGACTTTGGTTCCCCAGAGAGACAGGGTTTACTTGGATGAGGGACTCAACGTCGATCTGCTGATGCAGCAGTTCTACAGGGGCGTCGCGGATCTGGAAAAGTTGGCCTTGTGGTTGTCTCGCGTTCTCAAGTCACATTGCGCCCCAATGCGTGACGAATGGGTGGACCAGATGTACAGCCAGCTCAGCAATGGAAACAGGACGAATAACGTGGAGGAGTTGGTCAAGGGCATGAAGAGCCTGTTGAGCGTGCTGGAGGCCATGAAGCTTGACGTTGCCAACCACCAGATTCGTTGTCTCCGCCCTATCCTGATCGAGGGAACCGTTCCATTCGAGCGCAAGTTTTTCGAGAAGAAGATTCAGGGCAACAAGTTGGACGTTACGCAGGCGAACGCATGGTACAGGGACGCCGAGGACCGATACGCATCATCCGTCTCCGCCGTTGCGGCACACTCTTTCGGCGAGATGTCTGTGTTCTTCGAAGCTATTTCCAGACTCATCCTGCCTTCGGTCTCGGAGAAGGCTCTGCCTAATACCTTCATCTTTGATGAGGAGCGCTTTATCAAGTTGCGAGCTGATATGCTGGACGCTATCAACCTGGAAGTCTGCATGCGAATGTTCGACGACCTGGAACGCGTTGGCCGACTTGCTGTTTTCGACGTGGATCGATTCGATGAAGGGACTCGCAGCCGACCAGCTTCTTTGACGCCAGCCTTCGACTTCAACACTCCCCCCTCGCGACCCTCAAGTCTCGCCTTTAGCGCGAGTGGCTCAGCAACCTCTTCTCCCAGATCTTCACTGGTATTCGCTCCTGCCGATCCCGTAGACTCTGTGGCGAAGTCCAAGGAACTCTACAACTCACTCGTCGCCTTACTTCACACCTCACCACCGCCACGCCGACACGAATCCCGCTGGGAAGCCCTGGCACCCTCCTTGGCTGTCCAGATCTTCCGCTACTGCAACGCCCCGTCCGACATGCTTCCCGTTTTGGAATCAAAGCTCGCTTCCAACGTTTGCGACGTCAACAGCTCGATGTTCCAGGAAGTTCAGGAGCAATTCCACGGTAGGCTCTTGGTGGAGCTGCAGAGGCGGGTCAGGGAATACCGTGGCCTGACAGGCGTTGGACTGTTTTCAGTCGCCACAGGCGGTCGTCCCAACGGCTCAGGGCGGTCATGGAGTGGCAGCCCCGACCGCGATGGCCGGGAGCCCTCCGAGACCAGCCGCGAAGTCCGTGAGGATGGCGGTCTCGAAGACATGGCGACTCGGCTGGCGCACCTCGGTATTCTTCACTGGCGCGTGTTCGCGGGCCTGGCCTATACCTCCGAGGAACAGGCCGACAGCGTCATGGAGATGAACCAGTTCTAGAAGAACTGCCTCTGAGCAAAGCTCGCCTTTTGAGGCGTCACGTTATTTAATATGGACGCTGCTGGTCAAGAAGCCAGCAGCCCGACTCGCCCCGACAAGGGGGGCTTCTCTACTATGTCTGGCCGAACAACAATACCCCTTTTACAGTATTTTAATCTTGCATTTCACACCTTTTCTCGCAAGAATTCATATCTCTTCAGGCAACGGGTGTTACGGAACCTTAGACGGTGTTTTGGGGATCAAAGCATCAAGCTCGCGCTTTTATCGCGTTGGTTAGTTGATTGGATAGGCGTTTCGATGGCGGTGGTTACATGCAGATACATAGCGCACACTTTTGCATTGCTCTGAGACAGAAAATGAGAGTTTCACTTGACGTTTAAACATTTGTCTACATTTCAATCACAACACATGTGATTATGTACTCAAGTGAATCGCTCAGCCGAATGGTCGTTTTGGTTTTCTTTTCCTCTGCCCATGCACGCTTGTGTGTCTCGACGGTGTATCCTTGCACTCTGTGTCTTGTTTTGGCCAGCTTTATGTCAAATTGTTAATCACTTGCGTGGGCCGGTTGCCGTTCAGATCAATACATATTATTGTAAACGTTAGGCAACAAGGTGTGCCCACAAGCGGCAAACTGTGTGAGAAGGTTAGAAAGGGTGTCCCCGCAGGCGGTAACCTGCTACACGAAAGTATTAAAAAGGTGAGAGGGAAAAAGGACATGTCAATCTCAGGTTTGAGCTGTGAATGAATCTTGACCAGTGGTGAACCGAGTTAAATACGAGCAACCCGGATAGAAGCCCCATGGTAACTTTGCTGGTGCCTATCTTGCTAGCATACATCTGACGTTGAATGTAATTGAGGTAAAACAACTGTAGCAACAGAAGCGACAATAGGCTCGATGGCAACAATAATAGGAGTAATCAACAGCGACAGCAATGTCGATATTGAACACGTATTAAAAAAAAGTAGAAATTGGTTCCTCTGGCACACGAAAGTTAGGGAGTCTCATGTGTTCTATTGCTCAAGTAGTGAAAACTTCGGTGTGAGACTAGCCTGGATGGGAGGCCCCAAGCACTCAGACAAAACAGTTTCATCGAACACCTGACGTTCTGAACCCTGGCCTACCCTTAGGTGAGTCCTGTGGATGCGACTTGTATGCTGGATACATCAGAGCTCTCGTGATGGTGGCAAGCAAGTGCGTTTACAACCGGGACAGGAGGGCTGGGAGCCAGACAGGTGAAGCGGGGTCCCAGATTGAGGATGGTGAAGGGGACGGTGAAGAGGGGGACCTGGTCGAGGTTGGAAAAGCAACAATAAGCATGCTGGAGGGGGAAGGAAGGTCAAGTTCGATAAAGTGGGTTACGAAGCAAATCTCTCAAAACGTTGACACTATTCCGAACCTCCACAGACTCGTGTTCGGTCTACTAGTTGCGTGGAAATAATTGCCAAGTTGATTCTGCGATTCCTAAACGTCTACGTTACCAAATATGCCGTAAGGACTGGCCACTTCCTGCTCCAAAAGCCTCAGGGGACTGCACCAGAACATGAAATGGTTGGAAGAAGACTTGAAAGGGGTACGGTCCCTGGTGATACAAGAGAGGCATACCCAAGACTATGTAGAACATTCTGCTACGGTACTGCAACTCCGTTCTCTACAGCCGACGCCCCTCCTCCGGCGGTTTCTTTTTCAAAGAGCATTGCCGTACCTCTGAGCGTACTTGCCGACGCAAGAGGACTCAAAGGCGATGTGGCAGCAAAAGCAATGAGACTTGGGCACAGACAAAAGAAAATGTGACCTGGACACGGCGCTTAAGTGAGAGTCGCCCTTCGTGGGATGGTTGACGGGGGTTTCAGGGTCACCGTCCAATACAAACATTATACTCATCGTCTTGCATCAGACGGCTAGAAAGCAATATATTTGTTGTGCTGAGGCTGTGTGACACTCATCCTCGCAACCGGTATCATGACTTTGATCCAAGTCCTTCTGCGAACCCGATACCGACTGGGACGGGTGTCACTGGGTATCTTAAACGGCCGAAAGGAATTCAACGAACGATCGTCTCCAACACGGTTCGTAGAGTTCGCCGGTGAAACTGGACTGGCCTAGCCTGGTTGCTTTGGAAAGTTGGCTCCGTGGCTGACGCGAAACTACACTAGAGACAATATCTCGTTATCCAGGACGTAACATGCTCATCCCTCAACTTAGAGCTTTTCCATTCTATCGTCGAGGGCAAAGGACTTTATCGCATCTCCGAAGAAACATGCGCGACATGGGTGATGACGTAAACTCTTATTATCCTTGAGACTGCCTGCCTGACTCTAGGCAGAGCATTCTTTGTACTATTGCGGTCGTGACACGGGCGATATTGGCCCGTCGATGACTGCTTCTTTGCGCTTCCTGTGTCTCTTCTACCAAAGCCGTAGCCGTATTCATTTACCTAACCAACTCCGAAATCATAGGACAAGTCTTCATTTTTCTCGACCGCCTCCCCAGCGAGCCGAGTCGTGCGTGATCGTACGGGGGATATATTTAGTTGATGAGCATGGAGACCTGTTCTCCTCATGTGTTAGTCAAGTCCAAAGGGCAGAAATGTCGGGGAAGAGGGAGACTTGCCGCCATGACGACGCAGCATAAGCTGATGTACGGACTCAAACGCTCGCCTACCCTGGCGAATTTCCAAAAGATGCCCATGAAGCTACCGAACGATCAGCATTCTCGTAATGCAGCGTGTGCTCTGTGCCGGGCCTGGTTCTTACCCGTCCTTGTTTCGGTCCATCATGGCGGGTATGAGCTGGTGGATGTATGCGCATGTGCAGACGAGCAGGAGGATGACGAGGAGGAGAGACTGGAAATTGAAGAGGGCGGTCTGGCGGGGCTTGTTAGCATTCTTCGGACTTGTTCGTTGGATGCGACTGCGACTCACCATGTTTGCGACTGTTGTCCCTCTGCGCAGGAACTGGCGACGTGGTTGACCTGGATGCAAATGGATGGAAGGTCGCGATAACAGAGCCCAGGGGTGCGGTACGCTTCAGCCTCTCCTGTCCGTACAGTGGACAAGGTGGCCCGGAGATTTACTGAGCCACACGTGGCTCGAGCTCTACCTAGCTCTGCGTCGTCCCCTGAGGCAGCACCGAGGCAGGTACTTTGGCGCCACCCCCACAGTGCAAGCTGTGGAAACTGAGGCTGAAGCTGCTTGCCCTGTGCGTTGCGCAGTCTGTCACCGTGAATTCTCCATCTGGAGTTCGTCCTACCTCCGCCAATTTCGTCTTCACGATTCAACCTCCACCTCCTCCACCTTACTGCTTGCGCCGTCAACACGAGCAAACCATTCAAAACAATCAAAAACCTGCGCGACTCTACACTAGGCTCAAGCGATCCATCAATCAGCGCGCACCGATCACTCACGACTGCCCATCATGGAGCCTCGCGCCCGCGCTGCCAAAAATGTTGGCAAGATGAACTTTAGCCACAACGAGCGTACGCACATTTCCGTGCAAATTGCCTCACAGCAAAATACCCAAGCTAATTCGACTGCTCCTTCCTAGTGGCTCAGCTGCTCTACGCCCATGGCGACGTGCGGAACCCCCTTCCCGAGACCATCCGCGTCCTCGACGAGATCGTGACCGAGTTCATCCAAGGCATGGCCTTCGAGGCCACCCGAGCTGCCAACTATGCAGGCCGACAGAAGGTCAAATACGAAGATTTCGAGTTCGCCTTCCGAAAGAACGACGCGTTTCTCGGCAAGGTGCAGGAGGTCTTTGAGAAGAAGGGCGAGATCGACTCCGCGAAGAAGATCTTCACAAAGGACGACGAGGCCGTTCTCATGAAGGACGCAGCGGACCAGGAGGGGGGCAAACAGTCAAAAGACAAGGTCGTCAACGGGCAGGGCGATGCCGCGAGCTCTGCTGCCGATGCTGCTGCGAAGCAGGAGGAGGAGCTGGGCGAGGCAGACGATGACGCCGATGCTGAGAGTGAGATTGCGGGACGACCAGCCAAGAGGTTCAGGCTCGACGGCGACGCAAAGTGAGAGTTGGAGGTGGCACGGCGATTTTGTTGTTGGGCACGGTGCATAGCGACTGGCGTTTTGGATCAACGGCCTCGTATTGGCTCAGATGGCATTTCTGATGACACATGGACAGAGGCATAGGCACATTAAGCATGGCATAATTAATAATTTTTGGGGCTTTGAGCAGTGTGCATCAAATCATCGATCAAGCAGGCCGAGTTTGACATGACGCCGTTGAAACTTTTTCGGCACAATGGAGCGAGATCTGAGGTTTCCACTTTTGACCAGGGTGCATCACGATCTTTGACTTGGGGAAAAGTGGCCGAACCCCGCCGACCTTAATTCAACATGCCACAGCCGTCATACCCTCGCATGGCATTACAACAAACAAATCGAAGAAGCAGACGCGAGGTCTCTTCGTGCACACAATAAGGTTCAGCCGCCTTCTTAGTACAACCATGTCATGCATGTGTTGGACTGCAACCGCAAGGTAGAGCGGTGCGGCCTTTTGCCCGTTTCCCGAATCGGCACCGGAGCCGCTGCTGTCGGTAGAAGCTTCAAGCGGGACCTCGCCGAGAAAGTGGACTACCTCCCACCGCACGCGACACCCCGGCCACCAGAAAGCCCAGGGCCTTTTCCAAGGTAGCTGTTTGTTCCACGGTCTACTGGGTTGCATGCCGCACACTAGCTGGCGATATCGGGGAAAAGGGAGGGAGGGGCGAGACCTTGGCGGCAGGTGACGATGCAGCTCTGCTGTCGCATCACACTCTATGTTTCTCGTCTCGACGGCGCCTCAGCGGAGACAAAAGGTCTGGCCGCGGGCCTTCCTGCTGCAGGCTATTGTATGTTTAGGCATCTCAGAAGGAGCCGGTAAGTCTAGGTCAAGTTAGTGGTGTTGGTTGGCTCCATTATCTCTCCGCGCAGGCGCAGAAGCCAAAACAAGTGGTTGGCAGTGGATGACCACCCTCGAAAATCTCTACCTTACCACGCCTA